GAGACAGAGCGGTTCCTAGAGAGAGAAAGCGACGAACAAGAGCCTCCAAGTGCCCTAGCTTGATCTTCAACACCATTAGAGCTTGGCTTGAGCTTGGAGAAGTGCCGATTCAACGTCCAGGAGCAGAAATCCATCTTCACAGTATGATTTCCGCGTCTGATTCTGCTTTTGCTTCTTTCTCCATGGAGTAGTTCTCCCATTCATCTGGGTATGAGAAACCCTAGTTCTGTATGTTAGGTTTGATTGTATGAACCCAAGTATTGATTCTATGATATTGATTATATTCGATTGAGGTTTGAATGATTGAATGGCATGAATCCTGATCAAATTCCTGTTGTTTCTGCTTTAACCTAGAATGATAATATCTGCCTAGGTTGATAGAGTATCCTTAATCGAAGGTAGTGAATGGGTGACTTTAGTCGAGGAGCCAATTCACTATTCTGTACCGAATTCAATTCGGTAGTGGAGGTTTTGTTCATAGGGCCTCAATCTGTTTACTCCGGTGGAGGTTAGTCGCCCGCTAGAGACTCAGATTGAGAGGGTCTGAAGACCTTTAGTCGAGACTTCAGACTGTTTGAGAACCTTCCGCAGTATAACTATCATAGAAACTGAACTTGGTAATTACAATCCGGCTTAACTGCAGGTTAGGGGGAACCATATCTGGGTGACCTCTCTTAACCTGAATACAACCGTTTAGTTGTTTTGTTTGCTTGTTAGTTTAGAACTTCACTAAAGTTTCATTGCTAGATAATACGAATTCACTGAGTAGTCATCACATCTAGGACCCGGGTTGACATTAAAACTCAAACCCGTTATACTACGCTTTAGGAAGTGGTTACACTTGGCCATTTTCTAGAGTGACAGTAACAGCGAGTCACCTGTCGTCCGCGGTCTCCAAACTCCATCCGTACACCTCAAGTACTTACCTCGCACCACTCGAGCCCATAGCTGATCAGATTCCGTCATCAACCTCCAAGCAATCTTCATCATGAATGCCTGGTTCATTCGTGTAGCACTACGCATTCCCAAACCACCTTCCTCTTTGGGTTTGCATACTGTATCCCAGTCCACAAGGTGGATCTTCCTACCCTGTTCCGAGTTGCCCCAAATAAAACCGCGAATCTTTTTATCAATGTACTCCCTCACAGACGCCGGTAGGAAGGAGGTCTGCATCGTATACGCTGGGAGAGAGGATAAAACCGACTGTGCAAGAGTTATTCTGCCCGCCAAAGATAGTGACTTGATTTTCCAACCTGCTAGTCTAGAGTCAATCCGATCAATGAGCTCCGTATACGTTGCCTTTGACACCCTGTCGTGGATCACTGGTACTCCCAGATACCGACCAAGATTCTTGGTCTCTGGGATATCAAACGTGGTACTCAACATTCCACCCTCAGCTGCAGTCACATTCTTCGAGAAAAACACCCGAGACTTTGGCTGCTGATCTGTTGTCCCGACGCCGCCCCAAACTCTTCAAGGCACCTCAGAATGACCTGGGCCTGGCTCGTGGACGCTTCACTGAAAAGGATTAGATCATCGGTGAAGAAAAGATGGGACAGTGAGGGCCCCTGACTGGAAAGGCGCACTGGTTTCCATTCGCCTTGTGCAACCGCCTTCGAAATAATATGGCCTAGCCGTTCCATGCATAGAGTAAAGATATAGGGGACAGCGGGCAGCCCTGACGAAGGCCTCGGGAAGGCGCGAAGGACTCTATAAGGCCCCCGTTCCACTGGATCTGCATGGTTGAAGAGGAGATGCAACTCATCGTTAGATCAATAAACTAGCGAGGTGCGCCCACTGCCTGCAAAGTGTCACTAACAAAGCTCCATTTGATCCTGTCATAGGCCTTCGCAAGATCAATTTTGAGGACCATCCAGCCTGTCCTGCCCTTCTTGGCCCGCATCGAATGAACAACTTCCTGCAAAATACAGATATTGTCAGTAATGTGTCGATCGGGGACGAAGCTCGTTTTAGTCTCATGCACCAGGCGAGGCATGAGAGGCTTTATTCTTTCTGCCAGACACTTAGTGATCATCTTGTACGAGACATTGCAGAGGCTGATCGGCCGGAACTGGTCGATCGTAGCTGGTTTCGCCACCTTCGGGATGAGGACCACAATAGTTTCATTCAATTCCTTCACCCTAGATGGCTAGTTCCAACACGCCTGTATAAACTCCAAACTGCATTTCCCACAAGTTCCCAGTTCCGTTGATAAAATAGGGGATTGAGGCCGTCCTTTCCCGGCGCCTTTAGCCCGCCCATCGCCTTGATCGTCGTATGCACTTCCTCCATAGTGAATTGAACTGCAGTGGGGATCCAGGCATTCACTGGGATATCATCAAACATTGCATGTAAGACTCGAACTGGTTCCCCGTCATCTGTATACAAAGTTTCATAGCACTCCCTTGCCATATCAAGTAGACTAGCCTGTAGGTAGGGGTGTACATGGGTCGGGTGGTTCGGGTTTAGGCATTTTAATCACCCGATCCATGCACTACGGTTTGGGAAATATTAAACCCAAACCCACCCAAAAAAATCTAAACCCTATGGTTTGTTTCTAATTGGGTTGGGTCGGGTTGGCGATATTTTTAAGTAAAAACCCAACCCAACACAAAATATGTAATTATTCTACATCATAAAAATATTTTATAACAAATTAAAAATTCAAACGAATAAACCGAGGTGAAAAGTATCAAAATTCACAAATATTGTTTTAATTTTAATAAAACTTGATTTACTTCAACTTATGTCTAGTTTTTTTCACGATATTTGTTGAAATAGGCTAAAAAGGTTACAAATGAACGCATCCATAATATGATATTCTTTTAAAATTGTACACAAGAAAAAAAAATTACGTGAATCATAGCTATATTAAATATATGTCTAAACTTTAAGTCGAAGAATGCATTAGATTAGTGAGACTTTAAGAGAAAAACATGGCGAAATACTTAATTTTCTCATAAGTATGACTATATACGACATAAATATTTTTTTGGATACGAACTCATACCAATAATTGGAACACGGGTTGGGTCGGGTTCTACGTGTTGTGTAATCCAAAATCCAAACTCAACCAAAAAGAGGAGGGTTGTACAAAAAAAAACCCTCACCCAACCCAAAACCTTCGATTTAGCGATAAATACGGGTGGGTTGGGTCGGATTGGGCGGGTGGGTCGGTTTGCGGGTGTGTTTGTTCACCCCTACCTAGTAGCCTGGTCTTCCACCCATTCCCCTGCGCTATTCTTCAATGCCGAGATCCGGTTCCTCCTCCGCCTACTAATGGTACGGAAATGGAAGTAGCGCGTGTTTCTATCCGCTAAAGCAATCCACTCCATGTTGGACTTTTGGCACCAGAGGAGCTCTTCCTGAAGGAGGATATCCTCCAGGTCAGCTCGAGCCTGCCGAAGACTTGGGCTATCATCATCGCCGCCATACCTGTGCTCTAGTCGCTCGATCGTCCGGAGCAGATTATTTTTCTTTCGCATGATATTACCAAACTCATCTCGATTCCAAATCGTTGCCTCCCTCGTGAATTCAGCAACTGCCAAAACCAGATTCGTCCCCCGCACCCAGGCTCTCTCCAACATGTCCGAAAATCCCTCATGCATTAGCCAAGCCGCCAAGAACTTAAAAGGTTTGGGACCTCCTGGTTGAAATGAAGGATCGACCGTGATGAGAATGGGTCTATGGTCACTCCGAACCCGAGGAAGATGGCTCACCACCGTGTCCGGGAAGGTACAAGTCCAAGAGGAATTCACTATGCTTTCTTCTAGTCTTTCTTTCACACCAGCTCGAAAACCACGTGTAAGGGGGGCCTGTAAAGCCGATAGTTAAACGTACACTATCTTCATGCGATAGTTAAACGTACAATATAAAACTTGTAATATACATATAAATCTAGCAACTAATAAGGCATTAACAGGTAGAGGCAAGAGAGGAGGGTATTTGTGCATTTGATCCCTAAAAGCTTGTCTATTTATATTCCAGTCTCTTTAAATACAAATTCTATCATCATAGTCACTATACCAAACTGGGGTGACCAAACTTTGATTTTTCATTATGTATGACAACCTATATTGAACAAATTAGAGCCAGAAATCTAAATGAATAAGAAAAATAAAAATGAGAAGACAATAAATTTGAAATATGATAGGCAAGCATAGGAACCAAAATTAAACAATGGAGGTAGAGGTGGAAATCAGTATGGTATTGGTATCCCAATACCAAATATCAAAATTTTGAATACCGAATTACACCCTAAAATCAATTCCAATCTCAATCCCTAAATAATTTCGGTATCCTAATCCCAATCTCTAAATATTTGGGTATCCCAATCGGTACTTCGGTATCCCAATCGGTATTATCGAATAAAAATTAATTATCTTTACAATCAATGATTAAATATATAAATTATATTTTTTTTAATTTCGGGCAAAAAGTCTAAGCAAAGAGCCCTGAGTTTGCCTAAAGCTAGGATATGGATAAAGAAAATGGAGGAGAGGTGACATCTCAAGTTCTTGTCATCGGTAATCTATAATTTGACAAATTGGAGGTTGAGAGACGACTAATACTATTGTTTGCTTTTTGGTGTTATGAAAATAACAAGAGATTAGGTGAGAGACGAGAGTGACTTAAATTGGAAAGTTAATTTTGAGTTGGTTGGAGACTTCAAAATTGTGAAATAGTGATGAAATGATCTATGTATAATTAAATGACATTCTTGGTGTTTAATGGTCGTGTAGCAGTGAAAATTCAATCCCTAATACCGATCCCTATCCCGTAATCCCTAATACCGAATAACAATTGAAATTCAATCCAAATCCCAATCCTAAGAAATGATACGTATATTCGTTAATATTAAATATATAAAAATTCCGTATGGTATTCGGTATATCCCAAATACCGGTACCAAACTTCCAGCCCTAAATGGAGGTATTCTTGCATGGACTAATTTGTACTAATTTTGAACAATAAGGACTTGAGATGTTATAGGAATTACGGGTGGGACCAAACATAGAAAAGGCTCGCAGGGACAAGCACGCCGTCTAAATTTAATACGGAAATAAAAAATAGAAATGTGACAATAAATACAGAATAAAAAAGCAAATGATTTCCATTAAATTTTCGTCTACGACGCCGACGACTCAACCAAAAACCGAGCTCCCCACTGAATTCCTCAGAAAAAGTAAAGAGAGGAAAAGAAAGAAAAGAGTTTCCATTTCCAATTCTCTCAATCAGATTGTCTACTTTTCCTTCATCATTTCTCCACCGACCATTTCCCCTCTCTTCTTCTTCCTCCTTTCCATCGGATTCAGCTCAGGTATTTTCCTCGCCCAATTCTTCTGTGTCAGCGCGGGGAGTTCCTCTGCTCCTACTTGGGAATCTTTTTTTCTTCTTCCAATTTTACAGCTCTCAGTTGGTAATGCAATCCTTGACTTGAAGACACCCTACCTTTCTATTGTTTAAGTGGTGGGGTTTCTATTCTGGGTAGTTTGTTTGGGTGAGATCTTTTGTGGGTTTATTTTTTTTGTTGATGTCTGGAAATCGAATCCGCGGCTGTTCTGTTTTTAGCAAAGAGTTGGGTTTTTCTCCTTTCTGTGGTTTGTGATTATCTGGGTTCTGGGTGGGTCTGTAAAGTTTGTTTCTTTGCTCTATTTCGTTCTTCAATTGTTGTGGAGGTTGCGAGTTTTTGGATTTCCTTGTGCTTTTTATAGTCAGTCCTCTGTCTGACTGCTGCCGACTGTTCGGTGCTTTTGTCGATTATTGGGTTTTTAGCTTGGATCTATCTAGATATGAGCTCTAAGTTGTTGATTGAGGTTTAAAAGTTCAATTTTTAATACTTCATATTGGAGGATTGTGTTAATCGTTCTGAGGATGTTGACTGTGTTTAGCTTTTGCAGAATTCTGTTGAACTCTTGAGAGAAGATGTCAGGAGGTGGAAGTCAGAACAGCTTGAGGAAGGCACTTGGATCCATTAAGGATACCACCACTGTTTCATTGGCTAAAATCAATAGCGATTACAAGGTAAACCAGTTAAGAATTATGGTTAATATTGGACTATGGTTGTTAAATTTCCCTTTTTCCATATCATTGATCTGTTTGCTCTTGGTACACTTCCATTTCTCAGGAATTGGATATTGCTATAGTCAAAGCCACCAATCATGTTGAACGACCTGCAAAGGAGAAGCATATAAGAGGTGGGTAAATGGTTATGCCTATTGTTTTTCATCTTCAAGCCATGGAGATCCTTTCTATCATTCGGCTTGTTGTGAGTCTAATATTGTTAGGGAGAATAGACTGACGAACAGCAAGCTTATGATATTTCGTCATTCTCTTTGCAGCTGTTTTTGCTGCTATTTCAGCTACCAGGCCTCGTGCTGATGTTGCATATTGCATCCATGGTCTTGCCAGAAGGTTATCAAAGACGCATAATTGGGCGGTAGGTGTATAATTTCTGTCTCATCTAATCTTAGACATACTGGAGTGGTGTGAGTTATGGGACAGCATCTCTCTTAATCTGAATTATTATGTTAATAAGCTCATGCCATGTAACTATATAGGTATCTTACCTCGTGAACCAGCTTACATGGTAGCTGATTTCTTTTCTGTTGTGTAGTAGTCCATGCTTACTGATGGACCAAATACTTCTAATTTCAGGTCGCCTTGAAAACTTTGGTTGTCATCCATCGAGCATTGAGAGAAGTAGATCCTACATTTCACGAGGAACTCATCAACTATGGCAGAAGCAGAAGTCATATGCTCAACATGTCTCATTTTAAAGATGATTCCAGCCCGAATGGTATTTAGTTTAATCACCTTGCCTTTGCGAAACTGGATGTTTATTTATCGATTCAATTGATAATTCTTATTCATTTCACAGCATGGGATTATTCTGCTTGGCTTCGCACTTATGCCTTGTTTTTGGAGGAGAGGCTGGAATCTTTCCGGATATTGAAATATGATATTGAGACAGATCGACCTGTAAGCTCTCTCTCTCTCTCTCTCTCTTATTAGATTCTGTTAATGGTAGGCATCTGTTGTCCTTGACTAATTCATTAACAAACCTTTTGCAGAGGACCAAAGATCTGGAAACTGCTGAACTACTGGAGCAATTGCCAGCCTTGCAGCAGCTTCTTTTCCGTGTTCTTAACTGTCAGGTACCAGTTAAAGTTGCTGTAGAATATTGTTCTTTTACTAATACATGCTACCTTTACTGAAGCAGCATTGGATCCTTTTTTTAACAGCCACAGGGAGCTGCAGTTAGTAACTTCATCATCCGCTTGGCACTTGCAATGGTCGGGAAAATTCTTCAATGCCTTCTCTTCTCAAGTTAGTGGATAATAGTCAGCAATCTTCTTTGATTATGACTTATCCTTCTCTCTCGTGCCATTTTCCAATAGGTTGCTTCGGAAAGTGTCAAGATCTATCAAGCAATAACAGATGGAACAGCAAATCTAGTTGACAAGGTAGTAAATGATCTGAATTTGGGCTTTAACATCCGATGTTATAATGTTCCAATATTGACGTCAACTTTATTAATACAGTTTTTTGAGATGCCACGTGCTGATGCTGTGAAGGCTCTGGAAATATATAGGAAAGCCTGTCAGCAGGTAAATTTTTTGTTACTCAAGGTGCGGAAATTCCATTCAACACTATGCTTGAGACATTTGAATCTGTGTTTCAGGCAGAGAGACTGTCGGAATTCTATGAGATATGTAAAAGCATGGATATAGGGCGTGGAGAAAGGTTCATTAAGATTGAACAGGTTTCAAATTCTCTCTTGATTACTTCTCAGCAGTTTTCTGTGTTCATTTATTCACCTTTTTTAAGTGAATTTGGTTTTGGTGGTGATGCAGCCTCCTGCATCTTTCTTACAAACAATGGAAGAGTATGTTCGAGATGCTCCACGTGTGTCAACTGTTCGCAAAGATCAGGTACAGAACCTAACCTTCTTAGACAGGTAGAAGAGACTATACTGTTGGATTCTGGATGCCATCAGAAGTTATATGAACTCTTTCAAAGTTGTCCTCTGGCTTCAACAACCAGTTTGGACTCCCTTATGGCTAAAACCACTTGAAAATGATCTTTTTACCAAGCAGGTTGTGGATAATAAACTTGAAGCACCGAAGGAAATATTAGCCATAGAGTATAAGAAGGAAATTGAGGTGAAGGAGGAGGAAGAACATTCGCCATCACCTCCTCCTCCCGAACCAGTGAAAGAGGAGAAACCTCCCGTCGTTGCACCACCTGATTTGCTGGTGATTCCTCAAACTTTTTTTTATTTACCCACAACTATTCGCTTATTATGTATATTGGTTTCTAAAGATAGCAAGAAAATCAACACATCCGTTCTCCAAGAGCATTTGGCATAAGTCAGTTACTCACAAGGCATTGTCGCCTACTTTTGCTTGCCAGAACTTGGATGATCCTGCTACAGTTGCTTCTTCAGAACTTGATGAGAGAAATTCCCTTGCCCTGGCTATTGTCCCAGTGGGTAAGTTCTTTGACTGTCTAATCTCACATGGTTCGTTTTCAGTAGCAACAGTTATATTTCGCCTTTCCCCAGACCTGTTGCCTCAAGTGGGGATGCCTTGTATCAACTTGAAAAAACAGAAAGAAACTAACATGAGCAGCTTGTCTCCCATAGAATCTTTGCTTACTAGGCTTCTGAACGGGCGAGTATTGAGTAAAATGTCCCTGGATTAGGATTTCAATTTTGCTTGGGTTGAGTACTATCCAATTGCATGCATATAACGACGAACGTTATGCATGATTCTGGCATCTCTTCTTGTAGGCGACCAACAACCTGCCACTGCACCAACCCAAGCAAATGGAACTGGTTGGGAACTAGCACTGGTTATAGCTCCAAGTTCAAATGAAACTACTGCTGCTGCTAGCAAGCTGGTATGCTGCTTCTTTGAATTTTGCTTACCGTTAATTTCTGTCGTTTTAGCTAGGGGTGGGCTGGTGGCCAGTTTGATTCTACTCGCATTGAACTGTGTCCAGAATCTTAGTCACTGAAGGCAGGCGAATTAGGGTAATTTGAGTTGAGTTTCTTGCTTACAGGGGTGGGCAATGGCTATTTAGCCGAACCGCACTAATATTGAAATCAATTCAGGGTATTATGCAGTCAGCACCCTTCTTCATTTGCTAGAACACGATTAGGACACATCGAATTTGGTATCCGTATTTCTGTGGTTTGGCCTTTAAACTACACCCCTTTCCCTTGCTGATTCTTTTCACTCCTTTTCATTGTCATAAAGGGGGGAGGGCTAGATAAACTCACATTGGACAGCCTATACGACGACGCAATGAGAAGGAACAGTCAGCCCACAAGCTACAACCCTTGGGAAGCTGCTCCAATGAACGGTCCAGTGATGCAAGCAGCCCCACACGATCCTTTCTTCGCCTCCAACGGAGTAGCTGCATCTCATAACGTGCAAATGGCGGCAATGGCCAACCAACAACAGGCTCTCATGTGGCAGCAGCAGCAACAACAGATGATGATGATGACCACCCCACAATTCCAACAGCCTGCAAATCCTTTTGCCAATGCTTATGGGGCTCCGGTCCATCCCTATGGCTCAGGTATGCCGCCTCCCGTGCAATCTTACCAACCATATCCAGGATACCTATGAGCTGGAGGAAATGCTTTTTGTATAAAGAATGCACACAGGGAAAGAAAGATCAACATCCACAGAACAAATTTCCAAAATTTTATCCCTCCTTCCTTCGCAGACCATCTCAGTCGCGTCGTGTATCATATTGTTACGTAATGTGCAGCAGCGCGAGTCGTGCTTTAGATCTGATGATTCTTCTGATTATTTTTATGGCTAAACGATGATTAGAAATAATGTTTTTTGCCCAAAACTTTGCCTTGGATGTTGGAGCATAGCAGGCGAATTTCTTGTAATGTCATTCATTCTTTTATTTTGGGTGAGCTGTTGTTAATTCCCAGTTAGACGGTAGAAAGAAACCCTAAACCCACCACCATTTGTAAGATCTGTGATTATATATCAACCCCATTTTTACACATTGAAGAGACATTTGAGTTTGATTGCAAAGTTCAAGTTGATATAGTTGTGTCAACTGTCAAGACTTTATACCTTTGGCACCTAATCTTATGTTTTTTTTTAGGGGTATTTTGGCACACTCTACTCTTCTTAACATAATTTCATATTCCAACAATATATATTAGATTTTTTACTATTTCTTTTTTGCATTTCAAATTTTATGTTTCTCCTTAATAGATCTTTATAATTGGAAACACAACTTGACATTCAATGGTCTAGTTACGATCGTATTGATTCTATAAATATAATAGAATGCATTGGTTCTCGGTAATAAAATATTTTGAATTTTAGAAGTGAATGACCAAACATGACTTGCTAATAATTGAGCTAATGGTTGCGAATGATAAGCATATAAGTCTACGACTCAATATAATTGGTGAATGAGTCAAAATTTATTGGCTAATGTTTAAGTGACTAAATCTCATACCCTAACTCTTTAAACGCAAATGTGATGCATATAGTAGATTGGAAATATCTCGACGAATCAAAATCTTCGATCATTGTTACTAGTATACTAACTTAGTAAAATCATCAAAAGTAGGATTTCATCTTCCAATGTAGGTGCATCATACGCACAACCTAGTGCCTTATGAATTTTGAAACCTCTTAATAGCTAGTGGAGCGAGCCCTTGTATTTGGCATGTGTCACGCTGCCTGCAGAATGTAGTTCCTTGGTAGTTCTCTTATCTTATCCGTCACCCTTGATTTAGGAACTTTGCCCGCCTTCCCCCTGTTATTCTTCCTTCCCTCTCACCCCACTTCTCAACACAAGATGACCCCTCTTAATGAGAAAGGAAACGAAATAATATCCATTTTGTTGAATGCCGATGCAGAGCCCAAGAATCCTATCTTTTTTGTTGAGTGGAGGTGAAAAAGAGTGGTACATGTTAGACCGGAGATGTCATACTTATCGGCTAGTTCAATCGCAAATTGGGTAATCCCCATGATTAGGATGTGTAGAGAAGAAACTCCTAGCACATCTCAGGATTACGTAACTTCGTAGAGTGGGTAAGGAAGAGCCATCGGGCTAATGAATTTGCACAAATAAAACAACATTGAAATTTGTAAGAGTCCAGAGAAATGAAGATAAGAACCCAAAGTTCGAACTTGACTGGCACTAGGGGTGTTCGAACGGATTGGTTACCGTGGTAACCATATTAACCGATAGCATTCGGTTAATTTGGTTTGGTTAATTTGGATCATTGGTTTGGTTTGGTTAAACAATTTAGCTAATTTGGTTTAGATGGTTTGGTTTGGTTTCAACACTGCTAATCAATGAAACCAATTAACCAATTAATGATACACCTAATATACAAAATTATTTATACTTACATGTAACCAACCAAACCAAACCAAACTTTCGTGATTCCCTATTTTATTTCCATGTGCACAACAAACCAAAATATTATGGATCAAAAATTAAATGGGTCTGCCTATATTTACTAAACCAAAACATTTTGGACAACTTCTAGACTTTAGGATTACGTACAATGCCATGACAACCACCTCAAACTATGTATAGTTTAAGTGTTTTGTAGGAGAGCTCTAACCTCCTGATGAGGGATATTGGCATGTATTTATGTTTAGGGGTTTGTTGTAAGCTACCTATATTAGGTGCAAAGATGATGAATGATGTATTAACTCGAATGATGATGATAATTATTAATGGTTAGTCATATTATTATTGCTTATATAAAATGATAGTTTATGTTTGTTTTCATGTAATGTTATGTTATTTGGTTAATCCGATTATCCGATTAACCAAACCAACTAAACTTTGGTTTGATTAATTTGGTTTTCGTGTTAATTTGGACGAATTGGTTAAGACATTTTATTCCATGGTTAATGAAATTTTGACTTAATTGATTTGATTATTACCACGGTAACCAATTGAACACCCCTACCTGTCACTATAAAAGGATTAACAAGATGGTGTTTTAAAATTGCTTTTTTGGATTGGGGGGGGGGGGGGGGGGGGGGGATTTTCTTTTCTATGACAATGGATTTTATCTTATCTTAGGTCTTAGGGTTCAAGGTTAATCGAGTTAGGATTTACTCATTTGACTTTGGGTGTAGGATTCACTCGTTCAAGAATTATGGTTTAAGGTTTAGAAAATCAGAATTTAGAATTATGCAATGATCAAATATTTTTACTAAGAAAATCTGCAAATGTTTAGCCAATAAAATAAAAAAATTGTTCGAGGGTTAGACCTATCATTAAAAATAATAGATAGGTGCATAGTATGTATGATAATGAATTTGGTATCTTGGTTCAGAATATTGACACAAGATGCATTAACGAGTTAATCAGTATGATTGATGGATTAACATGCATAATAACATATACTCAATTAGACAACAGGCCGATCACAAAGCTAGCTTAACAAAAAATTATGTTGTGGAATCTATTTCATATTGCTCGATGAACTTACTAGATGATGGTTACTATATTTCTATTGCTATGCACCACCATTTGACATAATAATATTTTTCTAAAGCTGAAGTCCAATTACTGTTGCATAAAAAATTATAAATTAGTCAGTAATATTTTACATTTTGATATCCCATTGGACAATTATGTTTTGATATCTAAATTTTATTAGATTTTTGTACCTATAATTTTTTTAATTTATATATTGGTCCAATGTTTAGATTTCACTTGAATCTATGAATCCAATCCACCAATCCTTTTGAACCAATCTATGAATCCAATCCACCATAACATAAAAGTATAAATTTAGTTTGTACCATATAAGATGTTGTATCACTTAACTATAGGAGAAGATTCGGTCAATTTATCTAAATTTTATGAGATTTTCATATCTACAATTTTTAAATTTATATATTAGTCCAATGTTTAGATTTTACTTGAATCTATGAATCCAATCCAGCAATCCTTTTGAACCAATCTACGAATCCAATCCACCATAACATTAAAGTAGAAATTTAGTTTGTACCATACAAAATGTTGCGTCACTCAACTATAGGAGAAGATTCAACAATTTTATCTAAATTTTATGAGATTTTCATACCTACAATTTTTTAAATTTACATATTGGTCCAATATTTAGATTTCACTTGAATCTATGAATAAATCCACCAATCCTTTTGAACCAATCCATGAATCCAATCCACCATAACATAAAAGTATAAATTTAGTTTGTACCATACAAGATGTTGTATCACTCAATTGTAGGAGAAGATTCGGCCATTTTATATTTGCTCATTACGTGAAACGTTAAAAATAATCCTTATTAATATACTATTTTTATATATTCTAATGACAAGTATGAACGGGTCCATACACGACTCACCAACAGTCTTGAGAATTAATAATTGAACCATGAACCACTAACTTTTTCACCTCAATGTCGAGTTCAATTAAAAATAAATATATATGGTTATTACTTATTGGAAAGTGGTCATTTTCCACTATGGAATTTGAAGCGTGAAATTATAAGCGAGTTTCAGTTTGCATTCCTCCATTTTTGCATAAAAATTTTCAACAATTATACATGGAATGTTTGGTTAGGTATCTACACATATCAAATAATTTCTTTTTCACCTGTGATAGAATTTTCAACAATTATACATGGAATGTTTGGTTAGGTATCTACACATATCAAATAAATATTTTCCATTTTTGCATAAAAAGGTAAATAATTATCATCTAAATACATCATCATAAAAGGAAACAATCCTCAACTATACAAATTACAGTTCAATACCTAAACTTAATAGATCTTTAGATTTATAATCTAATTTTTTTTGGCATATAAGTCCTCCAAATATTGATGAAACATTATATTTTAGTATCTAAAATTTTTGTGTACTGCATTTTGGTGCCTAACTTTTGCAGTTCTACAAATAGTTCTAATTTTTATATGTATAATTAAAACACACTCGAATAAATGGGTATCATACCCAACTCATACATATTTAGATTATGGAAGTAAATATTCATACTCTATCCAAATCCATCTACAAACTTCCAAACCCATATATACGTCACCCATACCCTACCCATAATCAATGGGTCTACTTGGGTTTAGGTAAATATCCTTTATTAGTCAATTTTTTCAAAAAAATAATAAATTGGATGTTGACCGCCATATATCTCTTCTTAGTAAAATATTATATAGTCAAGTCAATATTACTAACAAAACTGCTAACAAATAATTAATTTTACGCTAATAATACTAACAAAATACAATAACAAACCACATAATACATGCCTATAAACCATCTCTACCTCACGACAAGGCGCGGCATTGCCATCTAGTATATATAAAAAAACACGCATAATAAACCTATATGATCTACTGATTAAGTAGCTATGCCTCCATTATAACGGTCGATAGTTAATTCTCATCCATCGTCCATATAAAAAAAATCTTATTTATCACCAATGTCTAGCCATGCCTCCATTAAATGTTCGCAACTTTAGTTTAAGAATGTTACTCTTGAAGAAGGGAAATAATTTCTTGAAGGCTAAGCTATATGAACATAACGAATGCAAAGAAGAGAAAATCACTATAATATCTAAGTAGAATTCCTCTTGTGGGAGGGATTCGTAGAAGATTACAGTCTACAGACTTGATTAATAACAGCCTAGTCCGTTGCTAAACAACCCAATCATGAAATAAAACATTAATTAACTGAACGGCTCTTAATTAATCATAGGAATAAGCGAGGGAAAATAAATATAATAAAATAAAATGCGAAAACAAAATCGAACACTCCAAGAACAAAGTTAAAAAATCCTAATCCCAAAAGGCCAAAACCAAACCAAACAATTCCCTTTCTTCTCCTTCCCTTTCTCTTCTCCGTCTCCTTCACGACTGTCTTCTTCGATTCCCCGATCGTAGGTTTCCTCGCAGGAAGTTGCTCTTCGATAGGAAGGACGGAAGGAAGCAAGCGAAGCTAGCAAACCTGGAAGCCATGTCCTGCCTCTCCAAGCCGCCGCAATCCGACGACGATCATCCTTCTTCGGAATCGGAGTCGGAGCTGCAACCGCTGGCTGAAAGCGTTTCATCCGTCGGAGTTACTGCCGTCCCGGTCGTCATCGGTCGTCAGTTGAGCGGCGGTGCTGAGGATTCTCTTGCTCCACCGCTGCTGCCGCCGCAATCGCCGACTACCGTGGCGGAATCTTCTCCTTCGCCGCCTGCTCCGCAGGGTTTGGCCGGGGTGCGCAAGGATCTCGCCGAGATTAAGGGGAGCTTGAAGGCTGGTTTGTCGCTGCTCTCGCGTACCGGGATTTCGAAATTGACCGCCAATTTGTTCCATGAGAGGATAGACGAAGAGGAAGAGGAGGAGGAAGGCGATGATGAGGAAGAAGATTACGTGCCTGGGATTACTGATGAGGTTGTTGAGTTCGCTAATCAGATTTCTGCAAGGTCCGCTTGCTGGACCGACTTTCCATTGGCCCTCGATGCTGGTAAAATCCTGCTCCATCATTTTGAACTTTCTGTTTTCGTTCCATAGTATTGTCGCTTGATTGATAGTTCTAGGGTTGGGGCTGTGGGAGAACATTCCTGTTAGGGAGCACTTTGGGGTTCATGGTGGATTGCCTGCTGTGTTTAGATAGTTCAGAATTGACTGTGTCAGGAGAATGAGTGCCTATTTGGAACGCCATGAATGGCTTACTAGGATGTGCATGTGGGATGTCCTGACTCCTGAGCTATTGGTTCTGATTTTGGATCGAGAGACTATCAAAGGAGAATACTTAACTTGATGTTCCTAACTTTTTTTTTCAGACTTCAAATTCTCTGATGCTCAGAGGGAGCATGCTGCAACTATTGAGTACATGGTTCCGAGTTTGAGAGCTCTGAGAGTTAGCCTCCATGGTTTCATGAGGTCTGAGCAGTTCTGGATGGTGTATTTCATTCTGCTGCTTCCAAGGCTGGACGAGTATGATAGGGAGCTTCTGTCTTCTCCCCAGGTGAGTTTCTGCTTGTACCCCTCTTATTTGTCAAGAGCTTTTGTGTGTAGATAAAGTGGAAGTGAAAAGGAGAAGTTTTTGTTCTTGACCCAAGCACGAAATATGCTTGGTCATTCGTGGGTGGCTTGTACACAACTTGCTTTGTCTTCTTTTCTGCTGTTTGCCATGGTATGCCACAAGCAAGGCAGTAAATGAAACTGTGTAGTTAGTTTATTACTAAAAGGCTGAAGCTTGACATGGTGGTTGAGCTTATTTAATTTTCGATGCAGAACAGCTTATCTGTTACACAGGTTGACTTCTGTTTTTTTAAAAAGAGTAGGGTTTGGATTAATAGTAAGCACAAAATGTTGGAATGATGAGCAAATTCTGTAGGAAGTAATCCCAAGTCAATATGTTGACTTGAAGAGGGTTTGAGCAAACACCCTGTAGAGGTCTGAACTAATTAGAGAAATAATGAGCTCAATGGCCTCTTCATTCATATCAAATTGATTCAACCGGTGGAAAAAGAGAAAAAGATTGTGTTTTTGTCATTTGTCCATGGCGTTGTGTTGTTATGCAACTCACCTAACTCTAAGGGGACAGTACAGACAGAGAAGGCATACTGTTGTAGCTTTGGCATTTTTCTGAGTTGAAGTCCTTCATAGTTCTATGTAGTTGATATCGATTCTTTACAACATTGCTACTGGCTTGGCTTCAATTTTCAACCTTTGCACATTCGAAATTCAAGTTCGTAATGTTCACATTGTTCAAATTACTTACCACCTATCAGCACATACAGCTGCAGCTTCATTAACAAATTCCTGAACTTGTTTCCCAGGTAGTCAACACCCGAAACAGACTTCTCCAGAAGCTGCAAGCCAGCAAGAACGAGCAGGCCGAAACCTCTGAAATTGCTTCTCAAGATAGCAGCAGCACCAGAGACGAACAAAACCCCGAGCCACGCCCACAGCCTTCGGAATCTGGCATCAGCGCGAGTACCACCACCACCTCCAGGAGCCGCAAGAAGAAGCACGCAGATGAAATCTCATACTTCTCGTTCAGCGACCTGGACGACGACGACAGCGTCCGTTCGGCCAGGCTTTCATCCTGCAGCCGATCCCGGGGGCTGAGGGATCCTTCGCCCGGAGGATCGTCGACCGAATGGGTCCAGCTGAACCGTGGCTACGACTCTCGCGGCGGATCTGTCAGGTCGAGGCAATCGATCTCTCGCGAGAAAGACTCGGATGCCGATTCCACGGCCAGCGAGTGGCTGAAAGTTTACGAGTCTGATTAAAAAGAAATGGCTGCCCTTTTGCTTCAAAAAAATTGTCAATATTTTAATTACTGTAAATCTGTTCGATTTGTTTTCCTTCGTTTTTCTTCTGGTTCTTTTTGCAGTCTCTTTCTGCATGTCTTTGTAAATTATGGAGTCACGAAACACCCACTTCTTTGTTTCTTGGGTAAATTGCTTGTCACTGAGATTACTAAAAACGTTTATGTTTGGTCACTAAAACTATTTAATTTCAATCATGGTTACTAAAATTAGCTAACTAGTTTAAGTTTGGTCACTCTCTGTTACTTTCCGTTAGTTTCCATTAATAGCGTTAACTTTTAACTGATGTGGGCTAACAAAAATTTCATGTCACCCAAATTTAACCAAGAAACTTAAAATAAAACTATCCACATCATTAAAACCCTCCAACCCATAACCCAACCAATAACCCAACCCGACCCTTCACCCTATTTGATTCGATTAAAAAATCCTAATTCCTACCGTCGGAGAGTGAAAAAAATCCCCAGTTCCTTCACCCCTTCCCTTCAAATCTTTCCGCCGAGTTCACCTCTTCCCTTCAATCTTTCTTCGTGGATCGATGCCGGTGGATACAAGTGGCGGCGTGCGGCTTTGATGGCGATGACGAGCGGCGGCAGGAGGGAGGCCTAGCGACGGTGATAGCGACGACAGGAGGTCGTCAACGGGCGTCGAAAGCATAGCATTGCAGAAGGGAGGCCTGAGCCGCCTGACCACGGTGATGGAGGTCTGGCGATAGCAGGGTGGGCTCGAATCTACGATGATGACGAGTTGGAGGCTGATTCGTCATCGTTCGGGCTGAGGGAGAAGTACGGCGGGAAGACGAGTGGCAACGACATATTGCCAGAAGCGGGGAGCGGTAGATCTAAGATTTACTTTCCCTCTTGTATTGAATTTACCGGCGAAGGCAGATCAGCGTGTGATTACTATCCCCTTGTATTGAATCTCCATTTTCGTATGTGTATAATAAACAGGGGACTTTTTTTCCGTCTGGTAATCAGTGATGTCCGGGACGGCAAGGCCGAGTAGGGTGAAGACGGAGAGCCGGGAATGCTGAGCCATCAGAGGTTGCACTTGAAGGAGGTGAGCCTGGGCGGGGAGAGGAAGAGGCAGGGGCCGTCGCGGCTTGCAGCCGGCAGGGAAGATCTCGCGGAAGTGAGGCGGGCCGAAAGTGGGGTGGAAAGGTGGTGGGTCGGGTCATATGTTTGTTTTAGTTGATGGGCGGGTTTTAGTGATGTGGTGGGTTTGGGTAAATATATTTCAGGTTAAAATAAGACGATTTGGAATTAAATATTTTTAGCGACTAAACATAAACGGTTTTAGTAATCGAACCTTGCAATTTACCATTTGTTTCTTTGCGTCTATTAATTGTTGAATTGTAAGAATGTACTTTGTAAACCTAATACGTCAAGCCCAATCTAACAGTGAGATCCTCCGTATGGGCCGAGCCTATTATGACATGGTCTAAGCTAGTGTAATTTGGTCACAAGTCACAACAATCAATACAACCCTGCACATAGTTAATTCTCTAAATTAAGGAAAAACCGTTAAGGATCTTCTCTCATGGCAGTAGAACCCGAATCAACAGGTATCCAATTCGGTCAATGCGGATAAAATCCGTTTTGACGGATTGTGGGTTGGGTTTGGATTTAACCATATCTAACTCGTGGATATCCGCTTCCATTCCATACCCTTCACGGCCTACAGAACCCTTAATAATTAACTATAATTTCTAAACTAATTCCTCACACTGTCAATTAATCATATTGTTTGTAGATGTTTATATTTAATATTGAACAATTAGTATGAACGATTTGTGATTTAGTGTGTATGTAGTAGATAGTAGTAGTGAAAACTAGTGTAATTGCATCTTTGTACATGAACCCATGGGTATCCATAAACCCGCGGATACCGAGCGAATGAAGTTGGATTTGAGTTTTCTAAATTCAATAGATTTTACTCCGAGTTTTTTTGGTGGATAAACTCATGAATTTTGGTTTGAGTTTTTTTAGTATGTAGTCGCTTTTGACCCATTCATCCGCGACTCAGTTATAGGTTGAAGTCAAGTTTAACTGAGCTAATTTGTAGAAACCATAATAATGCGTAGAAATTAAAAGCTGCCACCACCTAAGCTTCCTCTGCATTTCTTGTTACTTCCAATAACCCATATTTTTCTAGGATCAGTTTGTTTTGTTTTGTTTTGAAATTGTTCAAAATCTCTCTGCATCATCCACAATGGCGTACTGCGTTCATCCTGCTGAAGATGTGGATCAGCAGCTGGTCACTCCGCTCCTCTACGAGCCCAATTTAGCTTCTGACAAGGAAATATGCGAGCGACGACGAGGAGGAGCATGGGAGGACTTGAGCCCAGATCTGCTGAACACGATTTACGCAAAGCTGCCTACCTACATCGACGGCACCGAGTTCGGCTCCGTCTGCCGGAACTGGCGCCAAATTCACTGCGCCGCCGCACTTTCTTCCACTCCCTTGCCACTCGCCGTTGGGAGATTCAACAGCATTAGCAGCGTCAGCAAGGACAGCGTGATTCGATTCGTCATTAAATCCGTGGCGATAAAAGCCGCCGGCGCGAGGCGCGAAACCTGGATCGATACAGGCCGGATCCCGGGCTTCAAGGAGGGCCGCGACCTTGCCTGTCACCGCAAGACGATCGTCGGGTGCGCCGGCTCGTGGTGGCTGCTGGTGCAGGAGGAGGTGGAGCCGAGACCGAAGCGCGGCGACATCGAGTACTGCTTCAATCCCTTGCTCCGGAGCCCCGCGAATGTGATCGCCCTGCCCCCACTGTCCACGTGCTCTCTGCTGGCGGCCGATTACGATCCATCGAGGGTCAGAGCGGCTTTCTCGGCCCTGCCAACGGCGCCCGACTGCACGATCGTGGTGGTTCACCCGCCGCGTCGATTCAGCACCCTCCGCCGTGGCCAGCGCGTGTGGAGGTGTTATGAATTCGCCGGCATCGGCGTATTGGATTGCATCGGCATCGGATACAGAGACGGCAAGTTCTTGTGCCTGTTCCAAAACGGGGAGCTATTGATTTTCTCCGCTGCAGTCGAGGAGGGCGAGCGCCGTATGTTGACACCACCTGGCTCTACTTCGGCGCCGCCGCCTCTGCTTCCGGGTAATCTCCACCGGGTGGACAATTACCTCCGTGTTGCCGACTCTGAAAGCGGCTTCCTGAGGGTGAGCTGGGGCAGAGTTGATGAAAGCAAAAACATCTTCCGGCTGCTGACGGTGGAGAAAGAAACGGAGGCGCTATCCGAAGCGGCGGCTAGGTTAGAGAAAGGGCCGCGGCACGTGTGGTCGGTTTACCTGAATGCCCAAATTCCCGTCAAGCGGCGATGGGGCCGAAATTTTCTAACTCGCTGCTGGAGGTTCATTGTTTGTAAATGTTTGACGTGAGGTCAAATTCTAGTCGTGACTCAATTGATGAAATTAGCACAAGCTCTAGTAAATGTACTTGGCACTGAATCGTTATTCGTCGCCTTAAAATTTAATTTCTTTCACTCTAAATTGTACTAAATTAACGTTTATGTCCTTGTGCAATATCAATTACTAATCGCTGACTCCGATTGCAGTCCAGCCCACCAACCGTCCGACCACCGCTGCCATTCCTCCAACCCACCGCCGCACCCATTTCTCCACTCCGCCGACCTGCTATTGCTTTGCTGAGGAAGGAAGAAGACTCCATAAGGTTCTCTCGCCATTTTTTATTCTTCCTCTTCTTCCTTGTCATTCAACAACCAAAAGGTTTCCTTTCTCTTCTTCCTTCGTCTCCCTAACAATTTTACTCCATAAATTCTCTTATCGATCAATCATTATTCCCTCAACTGCCAAAAAGCGACGATTGGGAGGGAGGGGTTCCGTTTCGCTTTCTCCCATATTTAGATGGCGGCGGGTACAATGGCGATCGTCGCCGGAGCCGTGGTGGTGCTGTATAGGAATGGCAATGGGCAGGTCTGGGGCGGGTTTTTTGGTACCCAGACCCGCCTCGTGGCAGGTCGGGTAATTTATCACGGGTCACGGGTTGGGGCAGGTCAACTCAATGGGTATGCAATTTATACAAAAACATTAGAAACATGGGTTCTTTTTATTATAAGAGTAAGGAAACAAATAATAGTATGATAAATGTAGTTAAATTATTGGATAAATTGAGACTTTGACTAATTTACAACTTTATTATAGCTAAAATATGATGTAATAAAAGGAAAATCCTAAGTAGTTTGACTAAACTTATATGTAATTTAGACAAGAACATGTCGAGAATGGGGCGGGTCAGGGCAGGTCGGGTCGATGAGAGTACACATGCCCGCCCCGCCCCAAAACAGGCCAAACAGGTTGAGTAAAACGAGTCAGGTCAAAATTGTCATCCGTTAGTGCTGTACTACTCATTGAGTCGGAGATTGGTGGCCAATGGCGTCGGGGTTAATGGGGTACTAGGGCGATGGATTGGCGACCGTTTTGGGGATTGGGGTAGAATCCTCTTTTTGGTATGTTTAGGCAAAAATTTTAAAAAATTAAATTAAGGATATTTGAGTAATTTTAATAAATATTAGGGCGACGAATAAGGTGTTTTAGGGCGACAAATAGCAATGCCCTTTATGTAATTCTTTCTGGGTAAATGCCACCTTTAGTCACTGGATTATTAAAACGTTTCATTTTAGTCACTGCAAAAAATTAATATCAATGTTTGCACTCAAATTAGTAAAACGATCCACGTTTAGTCACTCTACGTTAGTCTCCGTTAACACCATCAGTCAATTACTTATATGGCTAACAAAAATGTTGACTTACCCTTTTTTAACCCGCCACATCATTATAACCTGCCATATCATTTTTCCAACCCAACCCTTTCCAACTGCGATCCAACCCGTGATTACTAGCCAGAAATCACTACTTCCCCATCAAAAAATGTTTATGCTAATCCCAAGTTCCTCTGTTGCCCTAAAATCACTACAAACAAACCCACTCACCTCTGAGAGAGATGCAAGACAGATACCAATTAAAAAATGAAGATCCAATTCCTTCGATGAACTCCATGTCCACACTTCCACTCTCCTTCCATTTCCCCCGGCCTCACTTCAGCTTCCATATCCTTGTTCGTTCGATGCTCCTTCCCCTCTACCAGCCGCCATTGTTTCTGTTGCTCCGGCAAAGGAAACTACTCTAGCCTCAACTTCAACGGCTCTCCCCT